TTTTTTTTTTTTTTTTTTGGTTCTTTTCTTGTCCGAACAATGCTCCAATCTATTGGTGGGGAGCAACACGTGCTGGGAACCGGGCCCAGCGTCCCATTTGAAACCATATTGGAGGATAGATCTTAACAACACACTAGAACTTATTTGTGGCGGATTGATCTTGACAACACACTAGAACTTATTTTTGGCGGATTGATCTTAACAACACACTAGAACTCTTCTTCTTGTTCTTTTTTTTTTTTGTTTTTTTTTGTTCTTTCTTTCTTTTCCGAACAGTGCTCCAATCTATTCGTGGGGTGCGGCACTTTGGGGGGGGGAATTTCGATGTGACCCTGAGGCAAATGAAAAAATAATTTTTATTTTTATTTAAAATTTGGTAAGGAATTTCGATGTGACCCTGGGGCAAAAGTTGTTCAGTTTATTTTTCTGCATAACATAGTTTTTTTTTTCGTTTTTTTAATTATTATTATTATTTTTTTTTGCTGGGACCTTCCGTAGTCCTTGCACGGCCGGGCCGCCCGGGAAAATAGGGTGACCCGGGCGGCCCGGCCCGGCTGGTAGCCTAGTTTGGAATGCATTTGATAAGGAGTTGGAACTCTGGTACACCCCCCTGAACGAAAAAACTGTTGAAATGCATTTGATAAGTATACGGATGTACCAGCTGGCCTAGCTCAGTTCGACCTCAGGACCTGCTCTGTATTTCCAAAACAGTTTAGGGTTTAGGGCTGTGTACCAACTGAGCCTGTTGCCAGCTGGTACATCCGTATCCTTGTCTTTATCTTCATCGTTATCGTAATTGAGACCTTGTTGCCCCCGATTAGGGGGGGCAACAGGGTCTAATTTACGATAAAGATAAAGATAAAGATAAGGATAAGGATAAGGATGTCCTTATGCTTATTATAATATTATATTGTAATTTAGACCTTGTTGAGCGAATCCTTTTGTCGTTATCCGTATCCTTATCCTTATCGTAATTTTTTGGACCGTGCTTCCGTACTCATCAAATGTGTTGTGAAATGATGGGGCGAGAGATTGAGTGTGTGGGTTGGTGATCATGTTGGCAGGGAATCTCAAGATGGGTAGCGATAAATACAGCATGCATCTCGATCGTCTAGACATGCGCCACTCAGCGGCTCAGCGGATGGCCGTGCGGTCTATCTTCCAGCATCTGAAGGCGTCATCAGATCCCGACAGACCTGAGGAGTTTGAGTCGGGACGGGCCGCGGCGCGGGCATGTCTGACTCACAAGAACCCTTCTGTCGTCGACGAAGCTGTGCGCAACTTGTGTGATCTTGCGCAGTCGGAGAGATTGGAGAAGTTGGGATGGGGAGGGGGAGGTGATTTCTGCGAGTTCTGTCTCTCTGAGCTGCTTGTTGCTTTAGCCGGCGGGGTCGGAGATGCATCCCGACTTGCAGATTCATCGATCATTCGTGGCATCGGTTTCGTTGTGCGGCTGCAATTGTCGAGAAAAACATGGGCAGATGCATCCCAACTTGCAGATTCATCATCGGCCCCAGCGGACCCCAGCAGCAGAGATTATCACCGGGAGAGGAAATACGAGCTGCCAGCTGAACGCGCCGTGATGTCTGCATCTAGTCATCCTTTCTGGAAGGTTCGTCAGGGTAGTTAAAAGAAAAAAATGCTTTTTTTTTCCTTTTTTTTTTTTTTTTTTCCTGAATCAACCTTTTTTCTCCCACCATACGCTCGAATTCTTCCACCTTCAAGCGCGTAGTATTAACTTCCTTTTCCTCCTCCTCTTGTTCCCTCTCCTCCTAGTCTTCCTCCTCCTCCTCCTCCTCCTCCTCCTCCTTCGCCCCCACTTTCCCCTTCTTCCTCATCCTCCTCCCTCTTTCTTCTCCTCCTGCTCCTCCTCCCCACGTTTTCCTCTTCCTCTTCCTCTTCCTCTTCCTCTTCCTCCTCCTCCTCCTCCTCCATCCTCTTCTTCTCCTCCGTCCTCCTCCTGCTCCTCCTCCTGGCCCAGGTCTCCTCCTCACGTGGAATCTCTCCTCGCTTTTTTCCGGTAAACGTGGATCTCTACGCCCTTAATTGTGCACATGCCACCCAATACCCTAAGTGTACACGTGGAATTCTATACCCCCCAGAACCGTAAACCCTCAATTGTTCCCTGAACTGTACATGTGGGACCCCCCCACAAGTGATTAACGGGGACCCGCACTTTTCAGCTCTTGGGTTAACGGGTCCGAAACTGAAATAAAAGGACCTTTACCCGATATAGGCCTCAGGCCTTGTAAAAATAAAGCAGCACGGGTCTTGAAAAAGTAAAGCATTGTGAAAAGGTATCTCGCCAGAGCTCWGAAACGTGAAATCAGATCAAAGGTCAAGTTCTCTATCAACAGGCACATCTAAAGCTAAGGCAAAGGGCATTGTYAAAAGACTTACCTGTTCACMAGGAGATGCCTGTTCGGGTAAGAGTGTGTCTGTACGTACAGGCAGTGTACCTGTTCGTGCAAAGTAAAGTGTCTGTTCAAGCAGTAAATGTGTCAGTTCGTTGAAAGTTGTGCCTGTTCGAAAGTAAAGTCAATAGGCACAGTCCCAGTTCTGGTCTAAGTCTAGGGGTCAGTCCAGATCCAGACTTTCAAGTCCAAATTCAGGCCGGGAGGCCTCAGCAGCAGTTGAACTTCATTGGGACTCTACTGGGACACATGCAATGCAGGGTCTGGGACAAGGAAAGAGGCTGAATTGAGCCAATGCAGACCCAGCAAGGAGTATAAAAGAGGCAGCCAGCCTCATTCCTTGCCAGATCTCCACTGGCATTCTATGCGTGGAAGTGCTGGTGCACTTGTGCGTTGAGCCAGTAGGAGCAGCGCTGGARGKAGAAGATGCGCTGAGTGRAGRRAGAAGCCTGTAYGCTGGAAGTGATGCAGCCATAGCTGCCCAGCRAGTTAGCATTAGTAGTAGWGGGTTAGTATGTAGCTATGAGTAGTATCCAGAGTAGATCCTTATGAGTGAAGAGTGTGTATGCATCGTGGGAGGAAGGGACTGAGGCTGAAAGTGTTCATTCAAGGTTCGGCTATGGAAGATACTTACCTGGGTTAGATGTGACCTGCAGAGGTGGCGCTGAAGAAGTAGTGACCACATTGACGACTTGGAGATTGTCTGCAGATGTAGCGCTGATACATTGGAAGCCATATTGATGAGTTGATAAGAGATTGGTGTTGCGCTGATGAGCTCTGGACTCAGGGGAACTTTGAAACACTTTGTATTCATATTTCGGATAATATAAGCTGTGAAACTCGGTCCTCTTCTTCTCTACCTTTGCCTATGGTTGATACTATTGATCACTGCGTGTGAAGATGATGCATGACATGTATACATTTGCGTGAGATGGTTCCCAGGACCCATGCAGAAATTAGGGTTTGGGGGTCGAAACCGTAAACCCTGAGTTATTCCCTGAATTGTTCCCTGCCTGAACTGTACATGTGGAACCCCCCCACCAGTGGTTAACGGGGACCCCCACTTTTCAGCTCTTGGGTTAATGGGTCCGAAATTGAAATTAGGGTTTGGGGGTCATCTCTTCATCCCTCTGAACCCTGCACCCTCAACCCGGACACGTCTATACCCTAAACCGGACACGTGGCACCCTATACCCTGAATTGCAAACGAGAAACCTTAAACCCTGAATTGTTCCCTTAATTGTTCCCTGAATTATTCACTTCAAAGGGATTGATTGCTTTCACCCCAAATTGCACATGTGGACACCCCATGCCCTGAACCTTTTTTCTCTTCTTTTTCATGTCAAAGGCTTCGTCTGAGACCGCTATGATAACAGGGTGTCAATTTTAGCACCTACAGGGAGGGGAGGGGTAGAGGAGGAGGGGGGGGGGGGGGGGGTTTCAGGCCGAGCCTCATTACATGGGTGCTCAAAATTGACACCCGGGATATGATAACAGGTGTGCAGATGGACCTGGAAGGTGCTAAAAATAGACAGGGTTTAGGGGTTTAGGCGACTTAGCACCTATGCACCCAGACACACATTTTCTTTCTCTCTCTCTCTCTCTCTCACACACACACACACACWCACRCACACACACWCACACWCACACACACWCACACWCACACACACACWCACACACACACACWCACACACACACACACACACACACACACACACACACACACACACACACACACAAACAAATTGAACCTCCTGACGAGTCGGTGAAAGCAAAAACAGTCTGGCACAATCGTACTTTTTTTTTGGAGTTGTTTACAGCGAACATGACGACACACATGTGCAAATGGGAACACGCACATGGACACTGTCGGGGTTCGAACTCCTGACGACTGAGTGAAAGTCTGCCGAGACCATCTGGCACAGTCATGCTTTTTTCTGTGGAGTTGTGTATCGCGAACATGACAAAACACAAATGTACCTGACCGTAATTACGGCCCTAACTGGATGTATCAGACCGCATTTACGTCCAGAAAAAATAAGTAAAAATGTCCTGGTGTGAGTATGGCCTCCAGCACACTCAACCACTAACAAAGATCCCATCCTGTCCTTGCCTCCCTCCCCCTACCTGAACGTTCCGAAGCACGAGAAAGGTAATTCGATACGCCGTACGTGTCACGACGACAGAACGAATGATGATGGTTGCCACGTTGTTTGTGGGTGACAGGTCTTGAGCTCGAGGCCAGAAGGGCAGAAAGAATTGCTCAGGCAGGTCGCTCTCGTGCTGATCAAAGCGCCGTCGCCGCACCATATGGATGCCGTTCTATACCTTCTTCCTTTTCTGCTGCAGTGCTTTCTTGAACAATCCACTCAGATAAGTGCAAAAGGCACTTTCGTGCGCGGTCTGCAAGAGCTGCTTGCAAGCTTGGCCCTCTCATCCAAATATCCTCCCCTTTCAAGGTCAATTTTCCACCTTCTCCTGCTGCATTTGCCGCTCTACGACATCAGCGTCACACAGGTGAGCGACTGCTTGCGAATGTGAAAAATGGCAGGTGTGTGTTGTCTTGTTGTAGAATCTGGTGAGGATACTCTCGTGTAATGGCGGACAACTCGCAGTATTCGCAGTCTGAGTCACAGTTTGAAAATTGCTGAGATCTGTCTCCCACCCATGAACCGAGAAAACTGTGTTTTTTGGGGTGTTTGTGTGTGTTTGTGTGTGTGTGT